GAGAGGCGGAATAGGGGGGCGGAGACATGAGGGGATCAAGTGACGACCCGTCACGAAATGTCGACTATTTTAGGATGTGCGATGCGAAATTTCCTCCAACCTTGGGCTCGACGCCTTGCCGTTGCTTTCTCGTTGAGGCTGATGTCCACCATTGTCGGCTTACGGAGTTTCACGACATTGCCGCCATATCTTCAAGCATAAACATGACGATTGCCAAGCCGCTTTTGAGAGAGAGAGAGAGAGAGAGAGAGAGAGAGAGAGAGAGAGAGAGAGAGAGAGAGTTGGGTACGGATAGGGTAGCGGCAGAAGAACGACAAGTGAAGGAACCATGATCGGAAGAGAAACGGAGCGAGTGGAAGGGGTGGGTGGGAAGAGCAAGCAAGCTGTCGTGGCCGAGAGGTGCTAAATGTCAGGAGGTTCTTCACGATGTAGTCTTTCCAAATTGTGTGTAGTACCCGGCGTGGAGGACAGGCGTAGAAAGAGGAGGTGTTATTTCCGGTGGTGCGCATACTATTGTCACCGAGAACGATCTGAGCGGAGTATCAGTGAACAGCACGAAACCTTGCTGAGAACGATCTGAGCGGAGTATTGTTGAACAGCAGGAAACCCTGCTGGATGCGACTCCTCCAAAGCCACTTGCGGGAATGGGTAGTGGGAAGTCCTCAGCGCCCCTCTCCCCACTATTTTCCGTTTATATTGAAACTAAATGGGGTAGCGGATTTGAACCAGGTTCTCTTCCACCAAAACCAGGCATCTCATCGACACGCCAATGTGAAAAAAGAGGGTCAACGAACAAAAATAAAATAATAAGCGTTTGAATAATCATCAAGGTTTTGTCGAGACATCATTCATTACAGAACCACACATACAATTTTGCACACACCCCGGCCCGCTTGCGACACGTCCTTCGCAGCTCCAGCCAAGCCCTTCCGTATGCAAAGCCAAGCCTACGCATGAAATCCATACAAATAAATGCAGAAAACAAAACTAAAATACCCGCGCGACAATAATGCTTGGAGCACCGTCACGCTCCCATTCCCTTTGTCACAGCACTAACATACATTTGTATACTTTATCCAACACGTTTACAAAATCAATCGAAGAAACCCAAAGGCTACTGCGTCGTGCACACAGGGCAACTCCATGGAAAACAAAAGGGTCAGCGTACGCCTCCTCCGACATTGAGCCAAGTGTTCCGCATAGCCCGGACTACAACAGTCAGTGTCCTATCTACCGTAGGTTGCGTAAGATATCACACCCCCTGGACCGATTTCTGAAGCTCGATATATCGGCAGGAAAAGCAGTGACGGTGCCCCATAATGGCGGCGTTGGAGCGGTCTCGTAGAGAGCTTTCAGAAAACGTATACTTCGATTTCGGCGTCGTCTTCGTCGCGTCGAAGTCGAGCTCTGAAAATCGGTCCAGGGGGTGTGATATCTTGTGCAACCTACGGTAGCTCTCACGTAGACCAAGTGTCACGTACAGCCAGGGCAGCCCACTCTGAACATCACGCGTCTCATCGGTCTCCGGGGGGTATTTTTTCTTATTCATTCCCACAGCAAGAAAAAAAAAAAAGAGGATGGCAAGCGGTCCTGCTTGATACCATAGATCCCCAAATAACTCAACGTAAACAAATATGAAGACACACGTATGGTCTACGGGCAGGTTTTAGCTATCTAGCAAGAGGCGCTGAGCAATCTCCTCACTTCCGAGCCAAATAGGAACTACTACTGATGACGCGTCGCGCGCTCTGGTGTTCAATTCTTGCGAAATGGTTGGAAAAGAAAGCAACAATTGACCCCCCCCGGGCACCATGTCTCATGCCGCTCCTCCACCGGCTGCCCATCAGTTGGCGCGTCCTTCGATCCGAAAGCGTTTCCGACGTTAGGCTTACTAACCCAGACGCACTGGTCTCCGCCCGCTTTCACCGAGACTCGGGACACGCCCGCAACAGGCTTTCACGTCAACACTACTTGTACGGTCACGTGAAGCAATGGATATAAACACCGTATACGACACAAGATAACACACACCCTGGACCGATTTTCAAAGCTCGATTTATCGACAGCAGGAAGAATCACAGAGCCGAAAACGGCGGCGTTGAAGCCGCCTGGTCGAGAGCTCTTCCGAAAACGCATCGTGTCGTTTATGCACCTTCTTTGTCATGGAGTAATCGAGCTTTGAAAATCGGTCCAGGGGTTGTGTTATCTTGTGTCGAGTACGGTAGTGGGACGATGGTGGGTTTCCCCAGAACATGAAGGTTACCTATCGACGTGCTGTTGTCATACCATGGTATTTACCGTGTCGTCCCAGCCCGACGACGCTCCCCCCCCTCCCCCTTCCGTACGCATGCCCGTTTTCGTTGTCTTGTAGCGTGCGATCATGCAACGCGGACGTTTTGTCTGCGTGTACTTGGAGAAGACGATCGTCAAGATGAATACGCACCACGAGAACCGGCAAACAACCAAACACCTTTCCGGCAACGACGGTATCAGCAAACAACAAGAAAAGAAGTATCAATAGCAATCTCAAGACAGAGGTCGGCCGACGTGAACCCCCCTTTTCTCTCTCCTCTCATGGCATGGGCGACATGTTGACGCCGCTTTGTTCCATCACGTCTCTGTCGTGCACGTTCATGTCTTTCGTCGTGAGGCGAGCCACGAGCAACTCCTCCACCTTCCGGTAGCTGTGGCAGACGAAACACGACCGTTACGAACGACACCGAAAGTGCCAGCAACAGTAGCACACCAGCGGGAACAACGGAGGATGTGTGTGAGAAACAAAGGGGCGTCGCAGAGTGGTTCTGCTGTTGCATGTTGTCCCCCAAACGTGTCTCAAACATCGCGCACCCGGCACTTTCCACAGCCACATCAACAACAGCACACCAGTAGCAAACAGCCATTGCCACACGACAACAACAGCACACCAGCAGCAAAACAACCAGTCATCACACGACAACAACAACAACAACAACGTACTTCCTTCCTTCCTCCTCACCGGTAGTAATCGCCCCGCTTTCTCCGGAGAACCACCACGAAGCAGTCCGCCTCGGTCGTCGTCGCCCCGCCCCCCCCTCCTCCTGCGGAGCCCTCGACCTCCCGCCGCGAGACGACCCGGAACACCTTGGCGACCACGCCCACGCGCCCGCTTCCGAGCTTGGGGTCCTCCGGGATGACGGCGGACACCTTGGCCGTCTGCCTGAAGGTCCTCAGGCCGTTTTCCTTGTTTACTCCGGGATTTGACGGGGGGGGTGGGGGGTATTCGTTGTTGACAGTAGCCTTCGCAAGCAATCTACTCAAGTTTTTTGTTTTGCAGTTTTCTTTGTTTATTCCGGCGATCTAACAGGGGGGGGGGGGGGGGGGTACTCGTTGTTGATAGTAGCCTTCGCAAGGAACCTAAGCTTGGTTTCTTAAGTAGGGGGGGGTGCCGGGTTGGGTTGCGCCAGGAATTTAAGCTTGGTTTTAGGAGGGGGTATGGGGTTTGGGTTGGGGGTTAGGGATGGGGATACGAAGCCCCCTTCTCTATTTCATAGGGTACATTGTTAACACTGAAATCCTCGCCTCTCGTGGAGATCGCTTCGAAGGCGTTTCTTTCTGTCCACATCATTTTCCTCCGTTCCCACAATACGTACTCCTTCCTGCTAGAGATCGTCTAGAACACAACACAACACAACACACCCGACCGGTTCTCATGCAACCCCAAAACAGCCGTGCCGCCCAGGGGCGAAACAGAGCCTGCCGTCCCCACACCTAGAGCTTCATCATCTAAGCAACACGCTCTCACGCAAACCACCACAGCCACAATCAGCACCACCACCACCACCACCAGCAGCGTACCTCGGCCCCCAGCTCGAACAGAGCCTGCTCCACCGCCTTCACGAGGTTCTTCAAGTCTCCGGTCGCCATGAAGCCCCCGGTTACCTTGGCCGCATCCTCCTCCAACATGGTAGGCACCTCGAACAGATCGTCCCCGGGCCCCCTCCACGTCGGGCGGTCGTGGGGGTTTTCCACGTACCCGGCCGACCCCCGACCCGGGGCCCCCGAACCAGCCGACGGGGACCCCGAGCCCTCGGGGCCGGCGGAATCTGCGGTGCCCCTGCTGCTGCTGGGCACGGTGCACAGGCGCTTTGACGCCATCGACTGCTCGTACAACTCCTGCATTTTCTGTTGGTTGAGCGGCAGCGGTGGGTAGGTACGTTTGTTGTTTGGAGGAGGTATCGGTTAGGTGGTAAAACGTACCCACAACTTGTTCGGAAAAAAACAAAAAAAAATCCAGTGGTGTTGATGTTGGCATCCCGTGGGCCCATGGACAAAAATGGTGGTATAGTTAACCGTTCCGCGCGTTGGTGACCGGCATAGGCGTTGCCCTTGCTTCTTTTGCCGTTCGGGGGGAGGAACCAGTCGGTCATGACTCACGTCGAAGAGAAACAGCGGTTAGTAGAGGTCGTCTACATGTGCTTGATCGACCGGAGTCGTCGACAGAAGATGTTGAGACTTATAAAAAAATCACTTCGGAAAGGTCTCGACGAGACGGCGGTTCCAATGCCGACATTTTCGACTCCGCCCCTCTTTTTACTACTGTGGAGCAGCAATCGAGCTTTGCAAATCGGTTCAGGGGTTGTGATATCTTACACCATGTCACCTACGGTAATCGAGCTTTGCAAATCGGTCCAGAGGGTGTGATATCTTGCGTCACTGTCACCTACGGTAATCGAGCTTTGGAAGCCGGTCCAGGGGGTGTGATATCTCACGCCACGTCGCCTACGGTAACGCTCTCACCTCGCGGAGCACCGCCCGGGGATCCTCAGGCCTTCCTTTCCAGAAGGCACCCCGCGGAGCGGCCACCACGTAAGGGTGATTCATTATCTGGTCGACATTGATCCTGTAGTTAAGGAAGGGGGGGGGGGACGGGATTCTGTCAGTGGGAGATGCCAAAGCGCTGTCCTTGTCTTGCTTGAAACTTGCACAAACCAGTTTCTGGAGGGCAAATCAAGAGGGCAACAAGACAAATTGAACACAGTGGCGCACATTTCAATTCTACGGTACGCTAAAATCGCGCGCTCAAAGAGATCAAGGCAACGCGGTCGACCATCGATCGATCCTTTATTCGACAACAGACTTTTCGACTTTTGTTCGGACTCAAGCATCTATATTTGCCTCTACTGGGTAGTTTGCCTTTGGAAGGCGTCGGGGCCAGTTGGACGAGTTCGGATGTTGAATGTACCTACCAGAGATCGGAACGGTTTTGGATGTCACGACCAACACAACGACGACGACGATGGCAACAGCAACAGCAACAACCACCACCAACGGCACAACACCAACATCATCGACAACGACAACAACAACAACAACATCACCATCACCGACCACGACGACAACAACGACAACAACAACACCATCATCGACAACGATAACAACAACAACAACACCATCATCGACAACGACAACAACAACAACAACAACAACAACAACAACAACAACAACAACAACAACAACAACATCATCGACAACAACAACAACAACAACAACAACGACGACGACGACGAGAACGACGTGTTGAGTATTTCTCCGAGAACGGCACGTACCGGTGTGCGGGATTGACCGTGAGCATGGCCTGAATAAGGTGCTTGGCGTCTTCGGGTAACAGGGGAGCTGTGTTCTGGTGGCTTTGCCAGAACAGGTCCTGTCGACCGAGCTGAAAAGTATGACAAAAAAGGGGCAGAAACGAAAAGGATCAAAAGGATCAGGACGAGATGCGTTAAAAAAAGAACAAGAAGATGGAGAACAGAATAAATACCGTGAATCAAGAGTGGTAATGTTGTCCAGAAAAAAAAAGAAGAGAGAAAGCAGCGAAAATATCAAATGAAACATTAAGGAAAAATAAATACACGAAACATGAGACCGGAGAAGAAAAAGATTCCACAAGCACAACACGAGTTGGGTAACTTGGTCGATGAGACGCCCCGGTGTGGTTGTAGTGGCACTGAATTTACCTTATCTTTTTACTGTGAGCCAGCGGCCACAGAGCATATCTTCCAGGTAGCAACTCCAATCCGCGGTCACACAGAAGGGTGTTCATCTCCCTGAGGCCCCCGACCCACCCTTCCTGCGGTATGGTATATATACCCCTCCAAAAATGAACACAAATCTGGGAAATTTGGACCCTTTTCCTGGGCACAATATACTCGGGATCAACGTCCCTTGCCAATAAGGCAGGGAAAACGGAAGTCAAATTCCTCCACGCCTACGCATATCTCCTGTAACGGCTCAAGTTGGGATGCGCTGCGCTTCTGCACCTTGAGAGCCCGGAACCACCAGTCTGACTCGTTCGCCTTTTCCATCGGGGGGTGGCCTGCCAGCATCGTGAACAGGATCACGCCCGAGCTCCAAACGTCCGCCTGACGCACACATACACACAAGTGCATTTAGAAGTGTTTTGTGTTTTCAACCGCACTGAGACTGGCGTCTTTTCATTGGTCAGCCGGTTAGTTAGCGCGGTCGATGCTAATAATAAAAACACACACACACAAAACAAGTGTCACCGGGAGAGATTGTGTAGAAAATATACATACACTCAAAAGAAAAGTCTATGTACCCGTTCGAGATATTTCTTAGAAAATATACATACACTCAAACTAAACAACATGTACTCATCCGAGATATACCCACAGTCGAAGGGGATGGCTGAAGTCTTCACAGTGAGTGGGTGGAAAACCCGATTGCATACTGGGCTTATTTTATAGTTGATTTATGTAAGCCTATGCACCGAAATAACATGTAAACATACCACCAAAGCGAGACTGCCCGTTCGAGATATAACCACATTCGAAGGGGATGGGTTGAAGTCTTTTCAGTAAACGGACTTTTTGTACTCGCTCGACTTAAGCAAAATAATTACTGTCGAGTCCGCTGTGAAAGAAAACACAATCGTACACAAGGCTCCCCTTCGGGAGTTAGGCGGCTTTCCTCCTATATATATGCCCATTCAATTTAATATTATGAAATATGTTGTAGGGTTTTTTGTATACTTTTAGGGTTTTGGAGGACAAGCAAAATTTTTGATGGTCTAGCCCGCTGCGAAAGAAAGGAAAATTGTGTACGAGGAATTTATTTAAATGTGCCTATTCAATGAATTTAATCTTTTACATTTTAAATAAATGAATATTAAAGTTTAATATTCGTTGTTCTTTTTCAATACTTTTTATTTTATTTTTTGGAGGACAGGTTGAATATAGCTCCCACCTTAGTTGCGTCGTACGCCGCGTCGTCGCCGTAAGCGTAGCTTTGCCCCAGGTTGAGAACCTCCGGGGCCATGTAGGTCCTCGATCCCACGATGCTGCTGCAAATCATGCGCTCCCGCCCCAAAGCTGCGAACCCGAAATCAGCAATCTTCGCTTACAGCAGGTAAGTAGAACGTGGATACAGCGTGCGCACGAAAGAGAGAGAGAGAGAGTAAAGATGTGTTGGAGGATAGACAAGAGAGAGAGAGAGAGAGAGAGAGAGAGAGAGAGAGAGAGTAAAGATGTGTTGGAGGATAGACAAGAGAGAGAGAGAGAGAGAGAGAGAGTGAGAGAGAGGCAAGGGGGATGTGTCAACAGATGGGCGATGTACAGGGGAGCTTGGTTGTGCATTAGGCAAAGTCTGGGGGATCGAGTGCCGTTCCTGAAGGAATCAAAACAAGAAAGACGAGAGAGGAAAACCACAAGGCGACAGAGAAAAGGCAGAGACACGGGAGACAGAGAGGGTGGAGGTAACAGCACACCGATCGACACCAACCACACTCGGTGTGATCGGGTTCCCAGTAGCCTTCGAAGGGTTTTTCTACTAAGCGGTACCAAACATGTCGGGTAAAGCAGGCAAAAATCGTGAAAGTTGGGTTAGGGATAGGGTCTGCGTACCCCCCTCGCTGTCTCTATTTCCTCATAAAAACTTAATTTATCGGGAAGGGGGCCCGTGTGATCATCCCAGCCTTAACAGCTCCTCTACAGATTTCTCTCGCCCACCTTGAGAGTGAAGTCAGAGTCCAAAAGCAGGTTCTCCGGCTTTAGGTCGCGGTGACACACGCCATTATCTGTGGGTGCAAGAAACGGATCAGAGGGTGTGGGTTAGGGTGGTCGATCCCGGACCCATGCTCAAGATTTCATTGTAGCTATGTCGTAGAGAATGCGGGGCAGCTGCAAGAAAGAGCTGCGACGATGAAGATGTGTGGGCTGGGAGAATATCGCTGAACAACAAACAGTGACGTAGGGCGTTCAGACGCTTTGCGGGAAGGAAAGCGCGATCACGGCAACAACAACAACGGCAGCAGCAGCAGCAACAGCAGCAACAACCAGAACAACACAAGATCACGCACAATCACTAATGGCTAGGGTAAGGTAACAACAACAACAACGACGACGACAGCAGCGGGCAATCAACGCGAGTCCTGGCGACGACGTAGGCAAGGCGCCTCCGGCGTGAAATAATGACAGAAACCTTTCCACCTACTCCTTGGTACAGAGCCGTAGAATCAAGAGCAGCATGCACAAAAAACACACACAGAGAGATAGAGAGAGCAACAGCAGTGCTGCATGGTAGATTTGGATATTTCGTTTACTTTACTACTACCACGACACTACTGCTGTCGTCCGTCGTCCAACTCCTGCGCCTCCCGCTGTCGGCAGAACCCTTTCGCGGGTTCCCCTGTTCTATCCCGCTATAAGGACTGACGTCGCTTGGAGACTGACGTCTTTTCATTGATCAGCCAGTTAGCGCGGTCGATGCTAATAATAAAAACACACAGCCACAAAATCCCTGAGTGGCACACACGTACCGTGGCAGAACTTGACGCCACACATGAGCTGCCTGAAGTACTCCTTGCACACTATAGGGGGGAAGCCGCCCGGCTGAGACAGTAACTCGAACAGCTCTCCCTTCTCGCACAACTCTAACACCAGGATGGGTGCATTCTGCCGCAAAATGAGGGGAGGGGAGGGGGTGGGGGGGGGAGGAGAAGACAAAGAAGAGTGTTCGTTACATAGGCTCATCGGGACAAACGAAAAAGACCACGCACCAGGACCGAGACGAAACTAAATCCCCCCGCTTCTTTCTCTTGATTGGTCGTTCGTTCTATGCCGTCGTTCTGTGGCAAGTAACGTAGAGCGTAGATCGAAGAGGCTTGACGTATATCCAAGGCTCGTCGGGACAAAAGAAAAAGACCACGCAAAGACAACCCGACCGAGTAGTTAGCTCCGCTTCTGTCTCTTTCGATTGGTCGTTCGTTCTATGCCGTCCTTCTATGGCAAGTAACGTAGATCGGAGGAGCTTTGACGTACGTGGATCCAAGAGATTTGGCCTACATGAACAGCTACTACGCGCAGGACATCCTTCTACAAAATAACGTGCCACCAGCAAACACAAAAATCAGAGCCGTTGTCTGTCACAACGACATGAGGATGTTGGCCCCCCACCAACAGCCCGCTAATCAAGCACGTGTTACCACGTGTATAGCGAGGACCTCCCTTGTTTGTTTTATTGTTTCAATTTTTAAAAGAACACAAGAAAATTGTCTCCTCCACCGGTAAGAGTCCGTGGTAGATTACCAATGGATTTATCGTATTGTAGCGTGACCAACTTCTATTTCGGCGAACAAAAAAAAAAAAAGTATGTAAAAAAAGTAAATTAAAAAGTATATAATAAAGAAAGAATGAATCACCGTAAGGTCGCCGTTCCGCCTGGGGTAAGTCGCGTCGAACATAGCCCTGATCAGCGACACCGTGTGCTCGTGGGACCCACATCTCTGCATCGCAAGGACCTGCGAACGAAGCGTCCAACAAACGCAGAGGAGGAAAGTAGGAACAAAAAAAAAGTGGTTATGCTGTACTGCTGTAGATATCTCGAACGCGAAGTATATTCTGTGATTGTATGTACCGTGTTCTAACAAAAAAAAAGAGAACAAAAATGTATTGAGGCGGTTTCGTTTCAGCGGTGCAACCTCGAACAGGGCGGGAGCGGGTTTCCCAGTTATAGGGGCGTGCGGTTATGAAACGTATGAAATTCATCGCAGCACAGCGCTCGGTCAGGTGTTTGATCAGTAGGGACAGATGAAGGTACTGGGTGGAGAGATTGGATTTTTTTTTTTTTGTGAAGACAACAATAACAACAACAACAACAACAACAACAGCAACAGCAGCAACAACAACGAGTGTCGACAACAACAACATCCACGAGTGTCGACAATAACGCCTTGAGGACGAGCACGGTGGCGACAAAATCAACGCGCAAACACGAACTTCATCGAAAACACTGAAAAGAAAAAAAAAAAAGTTGGATTTGGATGCACGACACCGGAAGCGAACAAACAAGAGCAGCTTCGTCGGAAACACTGACGATGATCAAAACTTCGTGGGATGCACGCCACTTTTCGACTTATCTCCCTCCTCCTTCGCGGTTCCCCCAGGAGTACAGAGCGAGCCAACAATCAAGAAAACCGTGTAAGTGCTACCTTTTAAGAAAACCGTGTACGTATTATTCCACTCGATACATGCTCGGTTCTTCCCCGTCGGTGGGGGCAACGGTAACCCATCGGCGCTTAATTGTATACGTTTTTTTAGTGTAGTTGGCTTGTGACCACGGAAGGCATTCGCGTTAGTTGAGCGGAGACCGGTATGTGAGGACAACAACAAGTGCAGGATTCTTCAACCGAGCGCCTGTTCTTGCACTGTAATGGGCCAGGTTCGTAGGAAGTGTGGATCATTTTTTGAGTCTGCAATTTCTTAGCTCCCAGGTGTTCATTACACTGGTGGCGCGCTCGTTCTGAAAACCGATCGATCGATTCGAAAAAGAAAAACAAAAGAAAAAACGAAGCGTGGTACGAAGACTTTCTTCCCAACATTCGCGAGTCAACGTGAATCAAGAACAAAAGAAAGCACACTCTCTCTGCTACAATAGTGCATGGTACATGGTATACATGGAGCCCACTGAGTGGGAAGCGTCGGCCTGCCCGGCCCATGCGCGGCTATGTATACGGTAATTTTTCCATGATACTTTCCACCATCGTACACCGCCGAGTGAGTGGGAAGAGCCGGCCCGCCCGGCCCATGCGCTGCTATGTATACGGTAAATTTTCCATGATACTTTCCACCATCGTACACCGCCGAGTGAGTGGGAAGAGCCGGCCCGCCCGGCCCATGCGCGGCTATGTATACGGTATTTTCCCATGGTATCTTCCACCATCGTCCACTACCGAGTGAGTGGGAAGAGCCGGCCCGCCCGGCCCATGCGCGGCTATGTACGCGGTATTTTCCAATGGTATCTTCTACCATCGTCCGCCCCGACGACACGCGAGGTGCGCACGCTTACCTCATCGTTGAGCCTGCTGGACCTACGGTAGTAGCTCGGGTCGCGGGGGTCGAGCTTGTCCATGACCTTGAGGGCCACCGTCTCGCCCCTCT